AATTATTATGGCTAAACCTAATAAATGAGGCAAAGGATCAAAATATTTATCAAATTTTTCTTTCATTGAAGTAATAATGGTTATAATATTCATTACCCATATATTTTATGAAAACTTTAATTATTTCTGCTAGCATATGTAGAACTAGTAGGAATATATATATAAGAAATTAATTTTGTTGAAGTATCAAAACTTTTAAAAAATCTTTATACAAGGATACTTGGAGCCAATTAAGTTCAGTGGGAGTCAGTACTCCTCCTATTGATGTTGTTGCACAAAATAAATCTATTGCTCTTCTTCGTTTACAAGCTATTTTTAACATATTATATGTTGAATTCCACCTATTAGCTACATCTAAATTAATTTTCTAAATGCTAAATTTTCTCATTGACAAATTTTTCTATATTCCGAAATTCGATTACCATAAGACATAATAGTAACAACTGCATTTTTTATTACAAGTATAGAAGTTTTGTATACATGCATAGCTTCTTTAACAATTAAATTGAAAATATGGGCACAATAACGAACTTGAAATAAATCACCATTAACAAGTAATTGTAAAGTTGATTTTAAATGGGTTACAGTTTAATTATAATATGATGCATTATCTAAACTAATCGTAAATATTTTATTTTGTAAAGCACACTTATATAATACATTACTTATTTCTACACCAAGCGAATGACCAATGTCTGGAAGTTCAACTAATTTAAATAAAATAATTCTTTTATTTAATTTTCAATCATTCTCAATAAAATACAGATCAGATGTTAAACAAACTCTTCCATTCAAATTTTTAAAGATGTCAAATAATTCACTTTTAACATTCTCAAAATTTTTTAAGATCCTGTTTCTAGTAGTATTTCTTGAAAAACTTTGATATTGCGATGCAAAACTTTCGTAAATCATTTTTATAAAATCGGGACATTCACTAGTAGTAAAAAGTTGTTCTTTTTTAATAATATAATCAATTATAGAATTTTGTGCATGTATAGGATCATATGAAAACGTTTGTAAATTACCAATTGATGAAGCCCCTAATTGCATTTGACTTCGAATATCAGGTTGTCAACTTTGTAAATATTTGTTAGCATGCCTTTTTAGATGACTAGTGCCCCTGCAGATACAACACTAAGTAAATGTGCACAATATTTACATTTTGATTTAAATGTAATTATACCATTAGGATTATTTATAGATATTTTTTTAAAATGTTCTCAAACGCTACTACTTCTGCTCCTAGATGATGATCCAACTGTTGGAAGAGGGATATTAGAAAGAGAATCAACAGATTCAAGTTGTGTAGTATATGTATCAACAGCAACATAAATATTAGGCATATTAGGATCCATAATAATGTAAGTAAAACAATATATAAGAATTAACAATTAATTTAAATAATGTGTAAATACAATCAGTAAAAAATAATAATTAATATATGTGCACAAATAATTAATGAAAAAAATGAGTAGCTCATAAATTTAATTAAACTAATTAAAGTTACCGACTAGTGAATGTGATACATAAATTTGCTTCTTCTGATAAAAGTTTCTTGTTACACAATTGCAATTGTCACTTAGGAATGACACTTCAAAATTAATTGAGAGTTGAGAGAGATTGAGAGTTTAGGAGAGATTGAGAGAGTTTAAGAGAGAGAGAGAAAGATAATTATTTGGTCTGAGATTTATTTTGAAAAATGAAAGATATTTATAGTAATTTTAATTATGACAATTTGTATATTACCGTTTGAAACTTGAATTGAGTGATTGATGAGGCTAGGCTAGGTAAAAGCTAGGTTAGTAGCAACCACTGACCCGCAATGTCAGTGACACAATGTCACATTACTCCATTTCTTTCTTTTTATCTCTCTGGGACTCTTTCCTTCATCTACGGATTGCTGTCAAAATGGTGTAGGTTGATAACTTATCATATATCATATGAATATAGGATGAGGCTTCATAGGTACTATTGGGCACCTGGGGGCCCACTATGGGTCCCATTTTGATAATCGAAACCGTTTAATGTGTAGAATTCATCAAGTATTATATGTCTGTGAAAAATCACATTGATCGAATATCGATAGCTATCTGATCTGATTGGTTTTTTTGTCAACTATTAATTTGTTCACCGTTCATTTTTTTGATACAAAATTGATATGATCATATAGTTAACGATATCCGATCAACGTGATTTTTTACAGTCATATAGTATTCGACAAGTTTTACACATTAACGGTTCGGATTATTAGAACGGGACCCGTGATGGGCCCCCAGAGACCTAATAACATTGTCCTAAATATCATTCGCATCCGCCTTATTATTTGTACCATGGATATGGTCCATCATCATTACAATGCAGTCTGCCGATTGATTAAGCATGTATATATATATATATATATATATCTATCTATCATATCAAACTACGACCATGTATATATATATATATATATATATATCACTGTAGATTAACCAAATAAGTATACAAAAATATTTTTAAAATCTGCGTTTAAAAAATCATAACCAAACATAGTTTAGTTTGATGCTATTTTAATAAATTATTATTATTTTTTGTTTTTATTTTTAAATTATAAATGTTATTTATTTAATTATATAAATTTTTTATTTTTACAAGATTACTATTTTTTTTATAAGATCAATATTTTTATTTATTTTTTAATTATTTAACCATTACATGTTTTTTTTTTTTTTTAAAAAAATTTGATCATTGAATATTGATATAAAAAGGGTCGGGCCGCCCGCAAGGCTCAAAATTTTTTGGGCCAGTCCGGGCCGGGCTCCAAAGTGGACGGCCCAGGCCTAGGTCCAATGTACTGGGCTGGGCTTGGGACCGGGCCTAACCGGGCCGAAACAGGCCAAGCCCACCGCGGGCTTCGGGAGGGCCACGGGCCGCCCACGGGCCTCGGGCCATTTTTACACCCCTACTTGTTGCATATGGTAAATGCAATCGTTCTTCCTACGAAAGAGGAGGTAGCTAGATTTTTTTTTTCTTTTTTTTCTTGAGTACTGGCATGTTGTAAGTTAGGGGATGTGATCAAAGCCGAATTTCGCAGCATTGAGGCCGGTAATTAGGATCCCTTAACCTTACTTTCCAGTCACATTGTATATTTTATGTCTGTTTAATGCCAATTAGGTTGGATGTGGTTTGAGCACAAAATGAGCAAAAACATAGCATTTTAGCCAGAAAAGGACTTGCCGCAAGTGCGAAGGACCATTCCTGAACGCACGACCCAACCAAATAAGCCAAATAGCTACTGCAAAAATTGCACGTGTGGAGAGCTTCTTCCACGTGTGTGAAACCACTTTCCGTACATGCGGTGGTATTTTCTACACGTGCAGTGTGCCCAATGTTTTGAACTTGTTAAGAAAGGCTGAAGATATGAAAGACAGAAGAAAAGGCTAGATTAGGGTTCTGAAAAATTCCCGAAAGAGAGGAGGGGCTAGGGTTTGGAAAAGGGGATTCTCAAGCTTGAAGATCAATTTTCATGGAGGTTTTTGCTTCTTCTATCTCTTCCGACTAATAGTTTTTTGTTCTTTCATATTCAATGTATGAGACAAGTCATACTACGAAGGACGAGTCGTTTTGCTACCGTAGTTTAGAGCGAACGCCTCATACTACTTGAGATGGTTCTTGCCCATACATTGAACGTGATAATTTTCTTGATCAATGCTTGAACTTGTAGTTGTGAAGTATTATTTAGTTCAAACTGTAACATAATTGATTTTCAAATTGAAATCTTATTTATGTAACTAGTGGTGAATTCATTACCCTAGGTTTTTCCTAAAATCAGTAACTTCATCTTTAATTATAATTGCTAGTTTATCTGCTTTGTTTAATTTAATTATCATTAGGTTATGAACAACCATCTCTTTCATCAAAATTAATTTAGGAATTTAACAATTAAATTAGTTTAGTGTTTAAATTAGTTTAGTTTAGTCTTTCATCAAAATTAATCTATGGATCGATACCTGGACTTACCAATATTCTATGGAATTTGATACAGTTTAGTGTTTATTTTTTGTGTATAAAACGATCCATCAGTCTTAAATTAATACTCTCGCCTTTAGATGTCTCTGGTTTGTTAAAACAATTGATCATTTACTGTTATTGTGTTGAAAAGCTTGGGAAGTATGGTCTGGGTGTATGTTATCTTGCGGTTTGATTTGGGTCAATCCTTATTCAATGCATGATTTGTTTGAATGGTGGTTTGGGTTCAATTTTTACCTATGGTGGTAGATGGGTGGACTCTATGAGTTCCAACTTGTCTGTATTCTCTGTGTATGATTTTCTTTTTAATTTGGATGGGGTCAATATATTGAAATATTGAGATTCAAATTTTTGGAACTTGTGATCATAGTTATTGTTGCTTTGAGTACCAATTGACGTGCAAATTGTTCTTCTGAGCTCTAATGATTTTGAAGGATATGTCTTCAACTTTGAGATACTCTAAAGATGAGATTTTGACAGTTATAGAAGGGATCTTGCATGCAAAAGAGTTACTATACTTGCTTTCTGAGCACCAATTTTGAAGATTTGTAGTGACTTCTAAGGCCTTTCAGAGTTTGTTAATTATGGAATTTTCTCCTTTCACAGAATGGGAGATTTTGCATGTTGTTTGTTTTAATTACCGTGTTGCAATATTGAAAGGTTGTTCATTTTTTCTTTGTGATTCCTAATTTTGAATCTTCAAGGCTTTTGCGTTTATCAAACAATAGATAATCTTACTCCTATGGATTTTTCAAATTGTTTAATATTAAGGCTGATGGGGTTCATATTCTTCTATATATATATAGTTAATCAATGTAATGTAGTGAGATTCCAATATATTTAGTAGACTTATGCTCATTAGATTTTATCACAATTCTCTCTTTCTCACTAGAGTGCCAACTAAACTAAACTCATTTTACAATGTATTGCTCTTTAATTGATCAATATATGATACAAAGATAGAAGACAGGGAAAAAAAAAACGAAAGTATGTGGTTTTACTTCTTTGTGCATAAAGTTGGTTTTTATTATCTCAAATGTATCAACATCTAGACATACATTGATTGAACATATAAGAAAAAACATAAAGTGTATCTAAATACATGATTGCAACATGAAATTTTCATAAAAGCAAAATTTGAAGCATATGGATTGTTTGAGCCCTCTTTATTCTCCAGACGCATGTCATGGTTAAGCTCAATGAACCCCAACAAAGTATCCTTTTCCTTCTTATAGAAATTACATTTTCCATTAACCTATGACCTGAAAAATAAATGAACAAATAAGTAGATGATGAGAATAAGTGAATAAGAGGCATCATTACTTTTCTACTTATTAGTTACAAAACATAGACGCATTATACGTACATGAGTTGATCACTTGTAGTGACTTGTTTAGTAAACAATAGGAGGTGGTGGTGATTTGTAGTAATATGGAGGTGGGGGTGATGGAGAAGGAGGAGGTGGTGACTTGTAATAGTATGGTGGTGGAGGTGACGAAGATGGAGGAGGTGGTGACTTGTAGAAGTAGGGAGGTGGTGGTGATGGGGACGGAGGTGGAGGAGACTTGTAATAGTATGGTGGACGAGGTGACGGAGATGGTGGAGGTGGAGACTTGTAGTAATATGGTGGTGGAGGTGAAGGTGACGGTAGAGGTGGGGACTTGTAATAGTAGGGAGGTGGAGGAGATGGTGATGGTGGTGGTGGAGACTTGTAAATGTAAGGAGGTGGAGGTGATGGAGATGGTGGTGGTGGGGACCTGTAGTAGTACGGTGGAGGTGGTGAAGGTGAAGGTGGTGGTGGTGATTTGTACACGTATGGAGGGGGAGGTGATGGTGATGGAGGTGGTGGAGACTTGTATACATAAGGTGGCGGAGGTGATGGGAATGATGGTGGTGGGGATTTATACACGTAAGGAGGAGGAGGTGAAGGAGATGGTGGTGGTGGGGATTTGTAGACGTACGGAGGTGGTGGTGATGGAGAAGGCGGAGGAGGTGATTTGTAATAGTATGGAGGTGGTGATGATAGAGATGGAGGAGGTGGTGACTTATAGTAATAAGGTGGCGGCAACGACGGAGACGGAGGTGGAGGAGACTTATAATAGTATGGAGGTGGAGGAGATGGTGAAGGGGGAGGAGGGGATTTGTAGTAGTATGGAGGTGGTGGTGATGGAGATGGAGGAGGTGGTGACTTATAGTAATAAGGAGGTGGCGGCGAGGGAGACGGAGGTGGAGGAGACTTGTAATAGTATGGTGGACGAGGTGACGGAGATGGTGGGGGTGGAGACTTGTAGTAATATGGTGGTGGAGGTGAAGGTGATGGTGGAGGTGGGGACTTGTAATAGTAGGGAGGTGGAGGAGATGGTGATGGTGGTGGTGGAGACTTGTAAATGTAAGGAGGTGGGGGTGATGGAGATGGTGGTGGTGGGGACTTGTAGTAGTACGGTGGAGGTGGTGAAGGTGAAGGTGGTGGTGGTGATTTGTACACGTATGGAGGGGGAGGTGATGGTGATGGAGGTGGTGGAGACTTGTATACATAAGGTGGCGGAGGTGATGGGAATGGTGGTGGTGGGGATTTATACACGTAAGGAGGAGGAGGTGAAGGAGATGGTGGTGGTGGGGATTTGTAGACATACGGAGGTGGTGGTGATGGAGAAGGCGGAGGAGGTGATTTGTAATAGTATGGAGGTGGTGATGATGGAGATGGAGGAGGTGGTGACTTATAGTAATAAGGTGGCGGCAACAACGGAGACGGAGGTGGAGGAGACTTATAATAGTATGGAGGTGGAGGAGATGGTGAAGTGGGAGGAGGGGATTTGTAGTAGTATGGAGGTGGTGGTGATGGAGATGGAGGAGGTGGTGACTTATAGTAATAAGGAGGTGGCGGTGAGGGAGACGGAGGTGGAGGAGACTTATAATAGTATGGAGGTGGAGGAGATGGTGAAGGGGGAGGTGGGGATTTGTAGTAGTATGGAGGTGGTGGTGATGGAGATGGAGGAGGTGGTGACTTATAGTAATAAGGAGGTGGCGGCGAGGGAGACGGAGGTGGAGGAGACTTATAATAGTATGGAGGTGGAGGAGATGGTGAAGGGGGAGGAGGGGATTTGTAGTAGTATGGAGGTGGTGGTGATGGAGATGGAGGTGGTGGTGATTTGTAGTAGTAAGGAGGAGGTGGAGGTGGGGGAGACGGCGGCGGCGGTGACTTATAATAGTAAGGTGATGGTGGCGGCGGGGACATGTATAAATAAGGTGGCGGTGGTGGAGAAGCATAAATGTAAGGCTTGTAGTCAGCTGCTACTTGTGTAGCTAGCAAACAGATTGCCAAGGCACACAGTGCCATTGGAAAAGAAGAGGCCATTTCCAGAAGCACTTCTTAGGTTTTGTTTGTAATACCCACAGACTACTACTATTTGATGTTTTCAGAAAGGAGTGGGATGCCCTTTATATAGTGATCTCTTCAATCAGTATGGGCATTTTTTTAATAGTTGTTGGAAACTTCCTCTAACAAATCTCTTATTTTTTAAACACAAAATAATTTCCATTTCATTCAAACACTGATTGTGGTGAGTTCCCACTAAACCATTTTGTACTCTAGCTGAGAAGTCACTCAATATGCATAATGTTGGAATTTTGAAGGGCGGAGATTGACCAGGTCTGAGCTGGTTACATAGGAAATTTTATAATTTGTTGATCCAGCTAGTAATGGGGCCTAGCAGTTGTCTGAAATGTGACAAAATGTGATAGGGATTGGAGTTGATTTAGTTTTATAGTTAACTGGATTCACATACATCTGACAAGGTTGGCATCTAGTGTGCGCCAAATATCATCTGGTTATAACACAGAATGATTGGTTTTGATTCCAATTTACAGTTTTAGGCTAAAAACTTTATCACTATAGGTTAACTGTCTAATTCAATAATAATAAATTCTACCTATACAAGTATTTTAAAATTTTCATAGTCATACTGAATTTTGAAAATATTCTTCAAATTACCTTTTTTAAAATATGTAACAACTAAACAAATTATGCATATTATATAGTAATTGCTATAAAAGTACAATAAATCGCATAAATTGTAAAACAAGAAACTATGAACATTTTTATACCAGGGAAAAAAAAAAAAAAAAAAAAAACAACACTGTGAGAATGAAAGTCTCATTGACGTCAAAATGAGATTGGGGTTTGAAGAATTGAATGAGAAAAAAAATAAGTATCTTGTATAACCAATATACATATTAAAATTAATAAAAACATCAAATGATTCGGTTCAGTTTTGTTTGGTTATTCTGAGCCTTAATTTGTTAATCGAACCGTAATTGACAGTTTTTAATTTTCAGTACCGGAACTAAACTGTCCTCTAAATGTTGGATTGGTTCAGATTAGTTTATTGATTACTAATATATATATATATATATATTTAACTCCCCTAGTTAACAAACAATGTGTTCAGTGATGACATCCAAAAAAATTGAACCGAATCATTTGATGTTTTTATTCATTTGAATATGTATATTGTGTTGTAAAAGATACTTATTTTTCTTCTCATTTAATTTTTCAAACCCCAATCTCATTTTGACGTCAATGAAACTTTCATTCTCGCAAAGTATTTTTTAACTCTGCTAGTTAAAATTTTTATATCTCGAGATTTTCACGCAAATCAACAATTACGAGTGTTACTAAACAACAGGACAATATGATTTGAAAAAATAATAAAAATAAAAATAAAAATCAGTAGCTGTTGTCGGTGGCCACATTAGTTATAAGAGGATCACCTTTTCATTTTATTTATTTATGTTCTGGTAAAATGCACACCATAGTTAGCTGTACACCTTAGAATTTTTCCATATTTTAATATGACGATGAGGAACAGCAAAGAAAAATGGATGTGACCATGGCAATGCAGTCATTGTTTCTACACTTCATAATTGGTTGCATTGCATGTAAGTCACCAACACCAACCACTCCTTCAAGTTGTTGTTTAAAATCCAATTTTAACAGCTGTTTGATTTTGTCTTTGATTTGATATCAAAGTTGAATATGGTTTATTATTATTGTGATCTACAAAGCACTTTCCTGTAATAGCTTTTTAATCATGATGGACTGCAATTACACTCATTAATTACCTACTAGTTAAAATTTTAAGCTACATATGATTGGTTAGAAATCATCACTTCAATTCAGTCATCAAACACTTGCATTGTTAATACCGCTGTTGCGAGTATACATTAAGAACTAATGGTTATATTAGTTTGGTCTTACCTACATAAACATCAATATAATACATCTTAAAATTATAATCCTGTGTCGTATATATCATTGTGTCAAATTTTATACCGAGAAATTATGATCAGTCAAAATTAAAAAAGTGGGTCTGGGGTCCCACTTTTATACATACATTATTGAGGAAATGGATATAATAAATTGAGACTTAAAATCCCACTTTTATTAATGTAATCAATATTTAATTTAGATTAAAATCGACATGTTAGTCCGGATTCTCATTTTAGTGCTCGACAAATCCTTATTATTAATAGACAATTTCATGAGAATGTATGAATGAGCAACTAATAAACTAAATGCAATTTATATTTTCTTAATTAATTTGTGAAGAAGAAAAAGGTGTAATTAACTAAGAAGGATTCAAAGGTACGGTGTATATTATTCTTATTTTATTAAAAAAAATATGTATATAATTCAAACCGTGTTGCGCATTTTAATATAATTAATCCAAGTTGTTAAGAACGATTCAAATGTTATAAGCTCTTAAAAAAATTATGGGAATAAGAGTGATTAAAACTAATAAAATAAGAGACAAAAGTACTCAAAATATGAAGCTAATTTGTCATTGCCTGTCTACAGCACAGATTTAGAATTGAATTAGTTTTACCCCCTCTGAGTTGACTATGAATTTGATATAATAATTGAAATGATAATGTTTTGATTCATAGGAAGACATTTGTTTTTTAGCCAATTAGCATCACTCGAAGTCACTTTCCATGGCTTTAATTAAAGGGTTTGTGATGTTGAACACATGCTAGTAGTGAAGTTCTTCGACCAATTAGATGGACAAAAGTTCAAGAAAATGTGGATATAAGTTAGGTTTGAATTTTGAATTTTAGTAGGAATTTCGAAATGGAAGGAAAATATAAAAATGAAGTGTGAATAAAATATAAATTATTATTATTATTATTATTATTATTATTATTATTATTATTATTATTATTTTCAATTTCCCTTAAAAACATTCGGGTCATAACTTCAATTTCAAAACTTTTAGGGCAATCCCCGCCAAAATTCTGTTCTTTTGAAGTTAAAATGACAAAAACAATTTGAAAGATCATATTTTCTCTATCTATTTGTTTACGTCACTAATTTGTTTACCTATATATTCAAGTATCATTTATACGTTTGTTCACGTGCCATTCCATTTTTTATTTACATGTCAACAATCTGTCCATTTAATTTAGCCATATGTCCATAATACCACCAATCACCACAACCATCAGACCACCTCCTAACCATTTTTCCATCACCAATGGCCTCTGAAAGCAGAGGGATAAAAATAAAAAAATAAAAAAATATATATCTTCAAAACTATAATTTATCATTTTCATCAACAATTTTATTAATCATGTCATTATCACTAAAAGATTAATGTTATATCCCTATAGAAATGGACTTATTACCAGTAAATTCATTTTAAATTCCTATCATAATCCATAATTCAACTACTGTATTAACATTTGAAGGTAAAAGGATAATTTTGACATATTTATTTTTATTTTTTGGATAAGTATGTCCGCGTTGTTATTACCTCTCAATTATTATTTTTGTCATTTCTGAAAATTTTTAATTTGTTATAATTTTGTTCAAGTATATCCTTTTTTAGTGTTTTTTTTTTTATGACAGATTTCTTAAAACTTTGTATTTAAATTTGGAGGAACTCAAATTTATTTTTTTGTATTTCTAATAAAGATAAAATACACTTATGGTTCTTAAAGTATGTATTTTGTGCCACTTTGGTCATTCAAGATTCAATTTTGTCAATTTGGTTTCTAAAGTTTTCAATTTGAGTCAAATTGATCAAATTCTAAACAGCCATTTAAATTTTTAAAAGAACAATTATAAATTTTAACTATAGTTCCTAAAATATACATTTAGGTCTCGTTTGGAGACTAAATATTTTAGTTAAAAAATCAAAAAGTCACTATAACTTATCAAATCATTCTCTCTATTTTTATACACATTTTAATAATAAAAAAATAAAAAAAAATTACTAAAATATTATATTCCCAAATGAGATCTTAATGTCATTTTTTTATTTCTAAAATTTCAATTGAACAACTTATTATCTTACGTAAATAAATAAATAAATATTATATAAAAGCCCTATAGTTTATATTGTGAATTTATATTAATTGTATTGGCCCTAATTTTTTAGCCTATTAATAATTTTTTTTTTTTTAGTCTACTAATACTAGAAGAACTAAATAAGTTAAAGGGTCCCTAAATTTTATTAAAACTTTAGAATCCATGATAGCCTTGTCCCTTGCATGAGGTCATGCTAGGTCGTCGAAAATTAATGACTATCTAAAGGACTCTCAGGTGGTGTTTGGCAAGTGATTTTGGAGTTAAAATAGTCACAAAAGATAAAATAGACTATTGTAGTCACAGCAAACAAAACATCACATCCAACTCATAATCATTACACTCTTCTCTCACAAAAAAAAAAATCAAAAAAGTCAAAAAGTCCTTCCCAAACTAAGCTTTTTAGCTCAGGCTAAAATAACCAAAAAAGCCAAAAAACCAACCCACTTCGCAAACTAACCATCAGTAACTTCCCTTAACGTATAAAAATTATATTAAAATAAGTAAAATATATAAAAATATGTAATAATCTACCCACAAAAAATAAGGGTTATGCTAAAGACTCCAAATGATTTATCAAATTTTTTACCAAACCTTCTACATGGGTGTGGAACCCACATACATATGGGTGGGATGGGAAATGCTGCTGCGCGGGGTGTGCAACAGCATCTGTTGTGCGGCAAAATGAGCCCATTTTTAGAATACATCAAGTAGAATATGCCTGCAAAAAATCAAGTTAATCGGATATCGTTTAGCCATGCATCCACTCACATTTCTATCTACAAAAATAAATAATAATTGTTATTTAAGGTATTAAAATGAATACAAATGTGAGTGGATGAATAGGTAAACGATATCCGATTAATTTAATTTTTTGCAGACATGTTCTACTTGATGTATTTTAAAATGTGAACAGTTCGGATTATCAAAATGAGCCCTGAAATAGGTCTATTTCGCCGCACAACAGATGCTGCTGCACACCCCGTGCAACAGCATCCCCAAACTCCATGTGGGTTGGTGTGGGTCCCACACCCATGAGAGAGGTTTGATAGAAAA